AGGAATGCTTCCAGACCCAAAGAACACCCACATCGTTGTCAGCTGGATGATCGCTCAGACCGTTACTGCTGTTGCCGGTTTGACCTCCTACCCTTTTGATACGGTTCGTCGTCGCATGATGATGCAGTCTGGCCGTAAAGGAAGTAAGTTTCTAGCTTCTTGTGTGGGGAGTGTTGGGCATCCCTGTATCAACAGTTGGTGGTGGAGCTGAGGTGAAGGCAGAGTGGCTTGGCATTCACCAAGCCATGTAGCTATCCTCTTCTCTTGTAAACAGCAGGGTGTGAGAGGGGCTGCAGAAGCAGATGTCAGGTGAGGGGCGGTCTCTGCAGCACCCCTGTAAGGTGGCATGCACAAGTCGGATACCTGTCAGTAGGTAGGAACAGCAGAGCTTGCCCAGGGATGTTGCAAACAAGATTCCCTGGGCCAAGAAGAGACATCCCTGGTAGCAGCCACGGCCTGGCTGGCTGTGCAATAGCTTTTGGGTCTGGAAGTGTTGGTGTCAAAGCAAACAGTAGCTGCCTTCTGCTCGAACCGGTCCTTCCAGTGTCTCCCAGGGGTAATGCAGCAGGAGCAGCCTATCTCCTGGGTGATCTTGTCCAATACTGGAGAAAGTCAGTCACGAAGTGGCGTGCACTTGAGGTGATGAAGCTGGCAGATAACATTAGGCCATTTCTGACCTGGATGTTGGGGGTCATGGGCATCTGATTCCTAACGCTGTCTGTCTTCCGCAGCTGACATAATGTACACCGGCACTATTGACTGCTGGCGGAAGATTGCCCGGGATGAGGGCTCCAAGGCGTTTTTCAAAGGTGCATGGTCAAATGTACTCCGAGGAATGGGTGGTGCTTTTGTCTTAGTCCTGTATGATGAAATCAAGAAGTACACATAAGTTATTTCCCGTTGTGAACTGGCATGTTGTAATATGTAATTGTGGACTTGTATGAAAACCGTCTAGTTACTAAAAATGACGGCTGTTATTTATACAGGTTGGCATGGGGCAGGGGTAACTGCCTGCCCTGTCTTTAAGTCATTCCCCCTGATGGGACTCGAACATGGTTTCTATTTCAGTCACTTCTGCTTAAAGCGTACAAAGAAATAAAAATCTAAAACCAACTTTCCTCGTCTCACATTTGTTCTTGCTGCAGTGTGAGGGGGGTGGGGGTCTCTGCACAGGGATTGTAGAGGAGAGGGAAGATGAACCATCTCCATCCAGCACACCTTGTTACCTGCTAACTACCTGTAGTCACTGGCAAGTAAATGCGGTGCAGGCTGCTGGGGGAGCTGGGTAACGTTTCTTCCCCAGTGGAGGCCAGCAGTATGGGCTGGAATGGGGACTGGCAGCTCTGAAGGACTTTCTAAAGTGCCAAGTGTGTAACCCTTCTGCAAAACAGCCTTCCCCATGGCGCGGAATGCCTGGGAGGATGGAGAAGTGTCTAAGGGGTATTTGCTGCCAGCCGGAGGAGCAGAGCTGGCATCACATACTCTGGGTTAGGAACAGCTGCCTGCTCGGGCATGTTAAAACCCAACCAGAGAACATAAGTGCGGGTAATTGCTGCTCTTGTGTAGGGCCCCTGGCTAACCTGGCCCTCGCGCGAGGTGGTGTGCTGCAGGGAGGCAGTAGCTGAGCAGAGGCCCCGGTGCAAGGGAGGGACCTGCATCCCCAGGCTTATCCCTTACCCCTGGAAGTTAAACTTGTCCCAACCCCAAATTCTGGGGGAAGGGGGAAATTCCTTCGTGCTGCTGGGGCAGTTTGGGAAAAACACTGCAAGACTGGGCAATGTGTGTGGCTTGGCCTTTACCCAGACATCTCTGTGGGTCTGTGAGCCACCCCAGTGAAGCTGTTTGGTTTCTGCCCAGGCAGCTGTGGTGGTGAGTGGATGCTCTCCTGGTCTTCTGTCCTCATCAGCGAGTCCTTCCTCACTGCCCCCGTGCCTTTGGTCCTTTCTGGCTGCCCAGGCCTGCTCAAAGCAGTTGATCTCAATCACTGAAACCAATCTCAACCACTGTCCGAGGCGGATCGACAAGCCCGTGTGTTGCAAAGGTCAGTAGTTGTTTTTATTGCTGAAATTTAAGTGGGGCAGCTGGGCGTGAGAGCACAGCACCGTCCCACTGCAGCCGGCGTCAGCACGCTTGGGTCCCTGTGAGTGTGCGAGTTTGTGATAGGAGACGGTCTCATGCTGCACTGTTGAGCCAAGAGCCTTTGCTGGTGCATTCCCGCTGCCCCTGGGCTCCCTGCGATGCCTGGCCTGGAAACACAAGGGGCTGAAAGTTTCCCCGTAAGACATGGAGCAATGGCACAAGGTGCAGGAAGCGTGCTGGGGGGAGCCGGCAGCCTGGCAGGGGGCTGCGCCATGGGGCAGACTTACTGGGGAGCCCTCTCCTGCAGCACAAATGCAAGCTAATTAATTAAGGGCTCTTGGTTCCTATTGCCTCCTGCTGCTGAGCTCTCATGGATTTCAAGGTCCATTCTGACATGCTGCTGGTTGGTGTGCCTGGGCCATCGTTTCCTCTCCTTTCCTCTGCAGGGGACGCGTGGCCAGGCCATAACAGGCAGGTAAGTGCGGCGTTTGTCCCTCCACATGGTGGTGTGTGACAGAGGGGCTGGGCTGGGCTGTGGTGCTGGGCTGCCAAGGAGCTGAGCAGTGGGACCTGTAGATCCTTAGACCCACAGCGTTTCTCACAGGGCGACATGTGTTGTAGCTACCTGTGCTATTTACTGCCTTTGGGACTCAGGAAACAAGCATGTGTTTCGCAGCTGTTTTTTAGCTCCGGTGCACGGGTGATGCAGGGCAGAGCCCTCAACGGGTTTTCCCTGCACTCCACCGCTGGAGACCATGGGCCGGCAGCCCCGTCTGGCCTGGGGTCCCCAGGGATTTAACATGCCCCTCCTGGCAGCTCCCCGGGAGCAGCTTTACCTGGGGAAGCAGGTTGGGGGGTTCAACAGCTGCTTTTGCCTGCCACAGGAGCACGTTACAGAGGGATTAAGGGCTTTGGTCTTGCCGGGAAACTGAGGCATGGGTGAGGGACTGTGGACAGCCAGCGGCGAGGCAGCCAGCTGAGAGCTGTCCCTCCAACACAGGTGTTTTGCCCACCAGGCCCTGCTGCCCCGAGGATGGGAGGGATTTTCCTTTTTAAACATGATTCTCCCGTGGGGAGTACCCAACACCTCTCATCCCACAATTTCCTCCTCGGGAGCGGTGCCCAGTGCGGCGTATCAGCCCCTTTGCTGGTGGGGAGGGGTGGGCGAGCGCCTGTAACACCACTTTCACCTCGGCCTGGTGGCCATAAATCCCAGGCTTAGGAGCTTTTCACACAGCATGGCTGTGCACAGGGTGGTACGAAGCACTTGTCAGCATCTGGGGCAGGTGGTGAGCGGTGCTGGAGATTTGGCACAGCTCGGTACGCACCAGCGCCCCCCAGGCTGGGCCGGCCATGGTGCCAGGGGGCTGCCAGGGTGGGGCTGCCCTTGTCCCCCACCGGCTCTGCAGGGCTGGAACCTCACCGGCTGGGCTGAAGGCTGTGGGGAACAACCTTTGCGTGGAGGTTTGGGTGCTGGGCAAGGCGAGACAGGGGCAGCCACCGTCTTCCTAGGGGGATTTGAGAGGTGCTAATGGCACAGAGGTGGGAGCAGGGCTGTGGGACTCGCCCGGGGCGGCAGGAGGGAGGTGTGATGGATGAGCTTCCCTGCTCTCTCTGCTGGAGATGGGCGCAGAGGCAGGCAGTGACCGGAGAGGACAGCAGTGTCCCCCAGCCACCATCTCACCCACGTCCAGGCTGAGATGTGGAGACTACAGGGTCTGTCACCCCCGGGATGTCCTAGGGGTGGTGGGGGAACAGGGGCGATCAGGCACACGTGGGCAGGAGGGATCTTCACCCATCTGGCGCAGGCAGGGAGCAGAGGCTCGGAGTTTGCTTCAGCCAGCAGCCCCAGGCTCGCTCTGCCTGCATGAGGCCCCCTTTCTACCTGGTGTATCCACATTCACATCTCTGCCTTCAAAGTGCCACTGAAGCTTGACCTCCAAGCCATGCCCAGTGCTTGGCCCTGCTCAGCGTAGGGTCTGAGTGTGGCAAAGCTGAGCCCCGGGGCCAAGGCTCTGTGGCTGGAGGAGGAGCAGCAGAAAACGGTTGTGTTGCATGGAGAAAACCTGCTCCTGAGGAAATAGGGGCTTGTCTGAAAGCTTCCTCCAGTGCACACGCTGCGCCTCTCGCTGCAGGGCCGGTGCCTGGATCTCACCAGGCCTTGCAATGGAGAGTGTCCCACCTCAAGGACCTGACCCGCAAAAGGCCAGCGCAGTGCCAGCTCACCCCTTCAGCAGGCGTTGGGCCACCCCGGGCTGTGTCTCTGGGCTCTGGATGGAGCCAGGAGTACCCCTGCCCCCATGTTCTTGTCACCGTGGGCCAGGCATGGCCCCAGCATCCTCCATGTGCTGCCTGCCCTGCTCCAGAAGATGCAATTGTTTGGGTCGCACAGGGTAAAATGGGTTGTTCCCAGTGGGGTGGGTGTGTTGAAACCACCAGCGGGACTGATCCAGCCATGCGAGGGGTCCTGTTGGCTGCCCAAAGCACATGAGTCAGGCTGCGGGGCAGGAGCTAAAGCCGGCGTGTCCACGGGGACACAGTCCCGTTTCTGCACACCCTGACACCATACAGAGTTGCTGGGGGGGGAGCGGTTTTGGGCACACGGAGCCTTCAGGAACTGCACAAAGAAAGACCCGCAGCATCAGGGAGGTTCTGGGTGGTGTTGTCCCACCAGGGGTTTGCTGGTTGTTGCTGTTTGATCCTGCCGGTGTCAACAGGCGTGACAGCCCTGGCTGCAGGAATGGGGTGGCATTTTTCTGGCTGACAAACAAGGAGAGATTGGCCACTTGAGCTTTGAAATCCACCCAAAAAAGCCAGCATGCTATGGCCAGCTAGGTTCATAAGATCTCCCCAGCGGAGAGCTACAAGGCTTCCTCCCCCATCCCTCAGAGCCCACACCTACAGCCTTTTAAACAGGCCCATAATTTGCATTTTATATTTTTAAATGCCTGGATGTGGCAGTGCCCCATGGACCCCTAGGGGTCTGCAGGATAACACCAGCAAACCTGAGTCTGGTTTGATTTAGGCTGATCAGTCAGTGCTGTTCCCAAGCTGAACACATTGTCATACACCAAAAAAAAAGTTAGTGTGCACTTATTAACTGCAATAGTCTAGGGAATCAGAGTGAGCCATCTGTACATCAGTCTAGCGGGTGAAATAGCAGAAACACAGAGCACAGCCCAAGGAGAGCTGTAATAGCCGACCAGGAATATTTGCCTTCAGGTTTTGAGGCTGAGCTCCACACGTGGTCCAGCCACCTGGTCACTGCCGGGCACCATGGTGCCATCGCCCCATGAGGATGTATGTGGAACTGGGGAGCTGAGAGCATCCCAGCACCAGCTGCAGCTGCAATGCAAGGGAACCATCAGTGGTTCCTCCCTTGAAGGCAGCTTTCTGCCTGATGCAGCTGTGCTGAGTGTGAACATCCTCGTGCCATCTGCAGGGTTACAGAGCCAGGACAGCAAGGCCAAGCAGCTCCGCAGGGCTCCCCAAAACACCCTGCAACCCTGCCCTGGGAGACAGCCCTTACTGGGCTCGCAGGGCCCGGCTCCCTCTGAGCTATTAACCTGCCAGGAGCCCAGGCAGATAAATGCCAATAAAGCTGTATACCAGCTTCTGAACAAGCTTCAGTGTTATCCAGCACCCCGGAGCTTCTGTGATGGCACCAGCTGTGTGTAGGGAGGCAGGCGGGGAGGACCCCGTGTTGCTCCCCAGGTACAGCTGCGATTAACACCCACGAGGTCGGATTCACCATTACCGCTTCTCTTCAGTGTTTACAAACTGCATGGTGGTTTTTGTTTTGTTTGGTTGGTTGTTTTTTTCACAGGTTATGAGGAACAAGGCAGCGTTGCTACATATCGAGCTATTCTGACATGGTAATTCAGACAAGTTTCTAGCAAAGGTGCTTGGAAACTGGACTGGACTAAGCCATGAAACACACTGAGGTAATTCTGGCCATGTATGGCATTATTTTTGGAACAGATCCCCTTCTCCACTTTTATTGCACATGCTACTTTGCTTTGCAATACCTCTGCATCCGGACAAGTTCTTATGTACAATATGCTCAGTTAAACAAACAATAAATTCACAGATTTATAAAAACTAATGCTGGCTTTTATGGGAACACAAAACCTGACTTTTCTTTAGTCTGGACACCGCTGCAGATTACCCAGTTGCTACTAGGGTGTGGGAAACTCTGCAGAATGGCTAGTTTTATCTATTAAAATAGAACATTTAATCAAGCATTTGAACTAGGTGCCTCTGCTTCCTGTTGCTATAGTCCACTAACATCTTTTAATTAATTTAGATCTAGAAATGAAAAACCCAACTTGATTTAAATTGTTGTGAACTAGGTCTAATTAGGGTAAGAAATATATACTTAATAATCTATTGGATCAGATTCTCTGTGTTGGAGTTGTTTCAGCCATTGACTGTATAACTAGAGTGTATTAAATGTATCTTGGGGACTGCTAGCGTGACAAACTACATACTCCCCTTTCTGACTGGGCCTGTGAGCGAGTCCTGAGCCAAACTAGGCAGATCTCTAATGACAAGAACGGAAAAACACTGACTGAACATGGGCCAGTATTCTAAAAGCCAGAAAGGAGGAGCCATTGTGCAGTGCTGTGAACACTGCCTCAAGGCTCAAGGTGCGCAGCTGAGGAAGTTGGTGGCAGTTGGTAACTGCTACTTCGAACAACTTGTGCTGAGCTCTGCACTCACCAAATTCTCTTTGCGCCTCCTCACCGAACTGCAAGGATGGTCCTAGGCCCCACCTGGCTGCCCCTTCACAGCCCCACCTCAGCCGAAGCCCTGAGTTTTGTCACTCCCAACCTTAACCCTAACTGTAAATCACACCATCCTGAGTCAGCTTTTGTTCTGGGTGTCACTTGAAGCAGGACTGTACTTCATCCTTTGTGCCGACAGGGGACTAAGAACTCTCCATCCGAGGAGACCTCACATGATTCAAAATCTATTTTCAAATTTCAAAGTCTCTGACTCCTGCTTGGAAAAAACTTCATAATTTTTATGGAGACCAACCTGGGGCTATCCGGGGTTTGGGTCGCTCCCAGAGGCCCTTGCCGGGCTGGACTGCGCTACCACACTTGGAAAAGAGGTTTATGTAATGGAGTTGTACCCACTCATTCCTCCTGCCCTCCCCAAGTACTATAAGCTACCTTATAATTGCCTAACTGCCTCCGGACGTAGGCTTCTGCAAATAGGCTTCACATCAGCAGGTGATCAGCAGTGAACAAGAGCAGCGCTGCTTGAGTTAACCTGAACACGTGCATCCCAGCCTGCCAGCTCTGGAGCAGAGCTCACTCCCTCCCTTACACATTATTTTCCCAAAGAAAGGAAGGTTACATCCTTAGGCTAAGCAGGTCCGAGTTTTCCCAGTCAGGGTTATAAAGCCAGATGGAAAATCTTTATTGATTATAGGAAGTCATCCATAATAATTGTGGGAGATGAAGCATCGAAGTATCTTGTTCATTGCTCATGTTATTTTACAATACTTGGTAGAGTAAGAACATCCTAGGAGAAGTATTTTAGTTCAAATATATAACATAGTATTTAATCCCAAGTAGAGCAACAAAGACATGGGCTATAGAGCACTGTTATTACATCACACAAGAGACACAATATTATTTCCCAAACAAGGTACTTTACACAATTCTTAATGTTATCTTTATCCAAGTCCTTAGCGGTCAGTGCATTCAAAACAATTTGTCCTTCTCCTTCACGTTTTACAACTCCAAATACTGATACCGTTTTGCAGAATGGGTTAGTTCAGACGTGCAGTTGTATCCTACTTTAAATGATCACCAATCGCAACGGTAACTTTCAGCTAGATGTTTGTACTCATTAGTGGTATAACACGCAAGCAGTTTTTGTTTTCAGTAGTTTAAAACAGGGTTGGATTTCATGTTCTTCTATCGGGCAGTATCTGTTGGGACAGTGTAATTCTGTACAACTGTGGCTTTCCGATGTTCAACAGGAGCTAAGACAAAGCTACAGCCAAGCCTGTGCTGGCTGCCTCTGACAGCCTGTCTGGGTGCACAGCAGTACAATCCCCAAGCCTTGCATCTGAGTTGTTCCAGATTGTCTTGGAATGGCATGTCTCTCAGGCTGCTGCATGTTCTCGACACATTTGAAATAACAAAACGAACAGGCACAGAACTTACTTTTGTAATGATTTCTTTGTTGTACAGCTGACCTATTGTTCCAATACATTTATGGAAATCTTACACATTTGAAAACTACCAAAACAAAAAGACAGGTATCTAAAGGTGCACTGAACTCAGGAAGGCACCCAGTGAAGATTTTCCCAAAAGTAAATATTCTGTCTGGAACAGCTTGCTCGTAACACTGGGTCTGTAGAGAACAGCAGTTTGAGCAAAGTCTCCAGTGCCACTGGAATTATTAAAACTGGAACCAGAGTATCGCCTATGACAGAGAGGTACTCATCCTCCAAGCTGGCTGCAGCACATTGCCCTTGAATGTCGTCTGTTACTTCTGCTTTGTTGACAGATCTGCGATAGCTCCTGGTAGCTTTCTCCTGTCTCCAAATACCCAGCAGACGTGCAGCATTTCACTTGAACTGGTTATCAATCAGGGTTCCTTTCATCTTGGCTTTCTTGGCTTCCAACTCAGCCTAATTAAGAAAATTAAAATAGAATGAAATAACGTCTGGATACATTTCCCTTCAGCGCTCCAATGAGGTTTGGTTTTCTTGCCTGACCATTGCAAGCTTTTCACACCAGGAGCAAGTCCTTTGCTGACTCCCTCCCCGCCCTGAGCTTCAAAATGAGGACCACCTTTATAATCATAAAAAGCCCAAGACTAACAGCACAGGAGACAATTTCATAGATTCTGTCCTCAGGTGGAAGCTGAACATTCCCCCCTCCCATTTACTACTCTCCTGTCACAGCAGGTAAGATCAGCTGTGATGTTCTTGCCATTCATTTTTCAAGTGACCCTTCCGGTAGCAGCTGAGCTGGCAGGTCCTCCACAAGGCCCTTAGCTTGCCCTGACGCCTCATGGCAAAGACCTGCTCTGCCAAGCAGGCTTGAGAGCACAGCATAAGGGGTGTTCTGGTTGGTAGAGCCACGGCCTGGTTTCCCCTCCCCTTGTTCCTTGTCCAACAGATCATGGAAAGTCTCCCTGCAAAAGCTCTGCTGACTGCTCTTCAGTTAGCTCTATAGGTAATTGCAAACAACTTAAGCTCAGGAGGACTAGAAGAGCATCCCTATAAAACCTGTAAAGGAAAAGTCATCCTCACAAAGCTACAAGTTACCTATGACTTTACCAGGACCTCTATTTGTAGTCTGATCTGCAAGATAGCTTTTGTTTACAAAGCAAACAGATCTCAGGGATACATGTCCAACACTGAAGAAAACACTCACCAACTCCTGTAGCCTTCTTTTGCTCATGCCTTTGCGTTCCAGCTGTTTCTCAATCACTTTTGCGTTCTGTGCATAGGAGTCCGCAATCTCCCTCTGAAACACATGCAGTGTCACTTTGCAACAGCAAACCCCACAGTAACAACACCTCATCCAAATGGCGAGACAATCACTGGCTCTGATCAGTGTCTGAGAAAGCTGCTCCATTTAGATGCAACTGTCCGTAAGGACAGACAAAACTCACCGCTTCTATCTCCTCCTCCTCTTCATCAATTGTGGAGACTGTGACAGAACTGAACTTGCCCATGTCTTTGGTCCGTTTGGTCATCATCACCTGGGTGAGAAGCAGGGTATTTTGTTAAACCTTGGCAACTGTTGTGCCATTACGGAACACATCCCCCTCCAGAGCTTTTAATGCTTCTCACGCAAGTCATTAAGATTACCTGAACTCTGTGGGTGGCAAAGGAGAATCAACCCTAGTCATTTCTGGGCTTAGAGCTGCTGATCAGAAGCAAACTCACTCACAAACTCACTAACAGATGAGCCAGATTTTGAGAATCACTGTACCAATCTGACCTACTTACAAATGGAAACTTTCTGGTAACTAAGCCTAAACATCAGGCACAGTCTAGATTTCCATGTTTATTTTGCTTTCTTTTAGTGCGAGAACTCCAAGCTGCAGTGACCTCTGTAAAGGAAAACTTAAGGCACAGAGGGAGAAGACACCAAACTGAGTTACTCTTTAGAGGTCCTTTTTCTTTTTCCTCTCCTCTGCCCTCACCATTCAGTGATTTTGCTCACCACACCCTTTTGAAAAATAGAGATAGCCTTCTTACTTCTCTAAAACTGCTTACCTTTTTGGGAGGTTCTTGTTTCTGAGTATATATGTTTGTTTTCCCAAAACACTGGCCAAATTTGACCACAGCACCGTCAACAATGAAGGTCACAGGAGCGTTTTTCTGTTGGTGTTGATAAAAGAGCAGCAGTCCACACCTGGAAACAGAAACACATGCAGCTGTGAGGAAAACCAGATTCTGGACTCCTACGGTTACCTCCCAAACAGACTGTAAAAGTCACTGAAGGCCACTCACTTGCCACACTTCTTCCTGAACTGCCGCTCTATGCCTTCTGGTCTGGAGGAGAGAGGAAGAGCTTGAGAGGAGTGTGCAGACAGCGGGGCTGGTGCCTGGCCAACGGGCCCCAGCCGGGCGAGGAGACACGGCCGGACCGGGGGAACCCCTTCCCCGGGCCGTGGAGGGGCTCTCAGAGGGACGGGGAGTGGCGGGGGGGCAGAGACCGTGGCC